CAAGGAGAATCTATTCATCACGTTGGCTAGACAACAATTTCTTACATAGAACACAAAAAGCACTAACCGTAAAGAAAAAAATATAATAAATTGAACTACTATAAAATAGCAACTTTTTTTCATCAAAAGACACCGTCAACAAAGAGAAAGAGCCAGCCCTGGGCTGGGAGAAAATGTTTATAATAGATATAGCCTCAAAGGTTTCCTATCCAAAACATATAAGGAATTCCTACAAATCAATAAAAAAGGGCAGATGTCACAATAGAAAAATTGAAAAAAGACATGAATGAGCTCTTCACAAAAGTTTTCCAAATAGTCATTAAACATGTGAGAAAGTACTTCCTTAGTCATCACGTAAATTCAAATTAAAACCAATACATACTCACTACATACGAAGAATGGCTAATACTAAAAACATATTGACAACGCCAAGTGTTAGTGAGCAACTAGAACTCTCATTCACAGCTTATGGGAGTGCAAACTGGTCTCCAATATTTGTAGAAGTGTTTGGAAGTATCTTCTAAAGCTGACTTTATGTATGCATGCCTTACCCATTTACTTCTCTCCTGGGAATACACCCAACAAAACCTCTTGTATCAAAAGATCTATACGAAATTTGGAAACAACCCAAAAATCCATCAACAAATTGAGAAATAGTCATACAGTCGACTATTACGCAATAATGAAAAGTAAAACAGTGCTGATACAGGTAAGAACATGAATGGATCTCACAATGTGATTCTGAGCCAAAGCAGCCCAACACAGAAGAATATGTACTGCACGATCTCATGAATCAGCAACGCTGCAGTCTCAGGAGTCAGAGGTAACGGTGGTGACCTTTGAGGAGACGTACGGTGGGGAGCGGTGACTGGGGTGCCATGATGGAGGCTCATCATCTTCCATTTCGCTACCTGGGTGCCGGTTGCACCGTTGTGCTTGCTTTGTGATAACTGAACTGTTCACATAATTTGTGTGCTTTTCCGTATGGGATATGCATTTAAAAAATCACTTTGGGAGGCAAGAGTGGAACCAGAGGGACCAGTCAAGAAGCCGTGGTAGCAACTCAGGCAGGAGATTACGATGGTGTGGCCGAGAGGAGATGCAGTGCGGAAGGAGAAGAGACAGCTAATTTAGGATGCGTTTGGTGCAAGAGCTTAATTGACTGGCTGATGGATTGGATGCCGAGGGAAAGGAAGAATCCAACAGTGGTCCCTGGGTTTGTGACCCACGCAGCTAGGCAGATGTGGGACCACTGGTCCAGATGAGGACAACTAGGAAAGGAACCAGCACCATTGAGATGCTTTCATATTTTACGTCATTTACTTCCCCCCAAAACCTTCCTTGTTTGCTATTTTTATACCCACTTTACAGAGGAGGAAACTGAGGCTCTCGGAGATGAAATTATTGGTCCAGGCTCGCACAGGTCTGGGAGGGAAGAGAAGGGAAAGATGTTTTTACCTGGGAGGCGGTCAGGTATAGTGTTGGAGCCTGCACACTTAAGTCAAACGGCTGAGGTCTGAAGACTGCCTCTGCTGGGGTTCAACCTTGGGCAAGTCTCTCGACTTCCTTTGTCTTCATCTGTAAAGTGGGGATAAGAGTCATACCTCCCTCCATTGGGTTAACGTATGTCAAGAGTTTTAAAGGGGGCTGATACAAGAAACAAGTCAGCTGTCTGTAAGTCCGCCATTATCAGGGTCCACGTGGAGTTCCAGAGGGGTGGAGAAACAGAAGGTAGATTTTAGTTCTTGAGCCAAGACTGAGTTTCATTAGCATAGTGATTGCCCTTTGAAACGCTGAAACAAATGATGGCATATAGTATTACTGCCACATAACAGAGACCATCAGGACCAAAATCCAGGAGCCAAAAGACATTAACTGCATACGAGAGAGGAAATACTGGCTTGGCTCGTGGGCCACCTGGGTGACAATATGCTTTTCTGTATGTGGGAGAGGAAAACGGTGGAAATTATTTAGCAACCATTTTGGACAGCTAAATCCCAATCTCCCCCAGGTGCTTGGAGGTAGGGGGCCTCCACAGGCTTTTACTTTCCAGAGTCAGCAGTTCACTCTTGGATTAAGCGATGCTTCTCATCACTTCCCTCTTACCTGAGTTACTGCAGCAGCCTCTAAACTAGACTCCTCCGATGTCTTCCTCTTCGGTAAATACCGACTGAGCACCAACACTGTTCCAGGTTCTCTGCTAGGACACGCCCACAGGCACGGTGCCCTCGTGGCACTTCAGCCCCACGTCACTCCAGAGTAACAGTTCTGCTAGTAGAAAGCACTTGGCAACCTGCAAAGGACTGGCCCAGTGTTGCTACTGTGAGATGATCGAGGTGACGATGGCGGCTGTTAACCCTGAGCTGCTGTCGCCCTTCAACAGCCCACCGCTGCCTGCAGGATAAAGGCACACGGCCGGTCCACACTGAATTCCAGCCTCATTTCCCATCCCCTCCCCCTTACATCAGCCTTACACTCCAACCACACCACACCGCTAACGGGCCCTTCATTTCTGTACCCAAAGGCCCTTGAATATTGTTTCTTCTATCTGAAACACTCTCTACCTTCTGCCTGCCTGGAAACTCCCACTTAATCCTTGAAGATCCAGTCCCAACCCTCTCCAGGACCTCCGCGCAGGCAGCATTCAGCCGCCCTTCCTCTCCCTTCACAGTGCTCTGCGTGAGTGTCTCTCAGTAGAGGCTACGATAGAATAGAATGACCTGAGAATCATCTTCAAATCCCAGTCGCCCCTCCTCCCCACTCACCAAACATCGAGATGCAGTAAGTCTGGGGTGCACGCTGGTTAAGAGCACAGGCTTTGAGTCACACGAAGTCAGAGTAAGTCCCAGCTCAGCTGTTGACCAGCTTCGTGAGCTTGGCCAATGCACTTAAATTCCCTAAGGTTCTATTACCTCTGTAAAATGGGGACAGAAATAGGCAGGAATGATTAGCTGAGACAAAGCGTGTGTAACATTTAATACATTATCTGGCACCTGGGAAGCAGTGGACAAATTCTAATTGTTATCGGAAAGGATTTCAATTTATTCTGACCTATCTGGCAACCTACCTATTTCTTGCCCACCCCACCCACCTCCGATTTGAGAATAAATATTGAGTATTCATGAAATTGTATTGTGACCCGTTGTTTCCATGCCCTGTGTCTCTTATTAACGTGAAATCCTGGAAGGCAGGAGCTACGTCTTGGTTCTAGGTCCCCAGCACGCAGTACCAGGAAAGGTGTTATCTCTTACAAGCTGTGTGATCTTAGACAGGTCAGTCTGCCTCTTCTGGCCTCGGATGTTTCTGATGCTGAGGAGAATAAGACCTACCATATCAGGTTGTTATGAATACCAAATAAGATGATGGATGTGGATGTGCTTTGCATGGTGTGAAGAAGTGAGCTGTTGCTATGGTTTTCCATCCAGGGTGAAAGGGAGCTGTGATTCAGGCCTGTCGGCACACAGCCACGTATCTGTGACTCTCCACTTCCTCTTCTCCCTACTCCATGAAATATCGGGGTAGCCCTCTTTCTTTAAACACTCTTAGTTGACTTGTACCTAACAGAAGATTTCACAATGACCTATACGATAGCTCCAGCCGCCCCAGAGAGAAAGGGACTTTGGATGCACGGCTGAGAGCGAGCGCATCACGATGCTTATCACTGGGAACGCAGCAGCGGGCAAGGCAGACGGGATCCTTACCCAGGAAAGTTTCAGTCTCGTCGAAGGAAAGTCGATGATAAATAAGGAAACATGTAAATGAAATAATTTCAGAGAGTAATAATTACTAAGAAAAAATGAAGCTCGCAATGTCATAGATGAAGGGGGGGCGGGAATCATTAGATAGTGTAGTCACGGAAGGCGTCTTTAGGAGGTGACATTTGAGCCCAAATCCAAAGGACAAGAAGGGTTGAGTTGCGTGAAGATTGAGGTCGTGAGGTTCCCAAGTAGAGAAAACGGCAAAAAAAAATTTTTTTTTAATTTTTAAAAAATTTTTGTACCAAGCAGCTTGGTCTAAAATGGAGGTCACTGTAGGTAGAATTACCGAGTCGAGAGAGAGCTAGCTGTGATGGCGCGGGAGGGTTAGACAGGAACGCCGCCGTGTGGGGCTTCGCAGGCTGCGACTTTAAAAATATATAGAAATCAAATGAGCAATTGAATGAAGAAGTTATTCGGACCTCTGCTTCTCGCATCCACATTCATTAAGCAGATATAATTCAGCATCTACTGTGTGTCATTGTGCTAGGAGTTGGAGATACAGAGAAAAATAAAATATAGAAGCAGTTTTATGAGCCCGGTAACCAAGGATATAGATGCACAGCAGAGGGTTGTAACGTAGAGGGAGCTTAGGGGAGGGAGTGATTGACAGTGCCTCGGGGATCAGGGAAATTTTCATTGAGAATGAGGATACTTCAACTAGAAAGTAAAGCAAAAGTGATCCAAAAAAAAACCATTCCAGCCAAAAGGAGCAGCAGGTGCTAAGGCACGGGGATGAAGCTCTTCGGAATGAGTGGTCATCTGTCCTGCTGAGAACACAACTGGAGAGGAGGGCTGGGTCTGCCTACTGAGAGACCAGAGACTTTGCATCTTATCATAGGCACGTGATATATATGGAGGGGTTAGAATGCTCTCTCTAGGGCATGGGAGATGGTGGGCAGGAAGGAGGAATTTGAGGCAGTTAGACCAGTGAGCGGAGTTTGCAACAAAGCAGGTACAAGGCTTGTATTTAGTTATCGGAGAGGGAGGGAGAGATATTTCCAAGACAGACGCCCTTTGTTCCTTAAGTAACAAGCAGGACCCTAAATCCCCAAACTTCAGGGAAGAACTGACTGCATGGGGAACTCCCCCACGTCTCCCTCTTGGTTTCACAGACACCTCTGCTGGCGCCTTCTCTCCTCCCGGTTGCCAGCCCCCGCCTCCTTTCTCAGGAAGCTTGGGTCTCCCTGGGAGCGGGTCTGCCCTTGGGGGAGGCCTCTCAGCTCTGTGCCCTGCAGCTGGGCTGACAATCGGCCGACGGAAGAGGGGCCCGGCGCCCCCCGCATGCACATGTGCTAGCCCAGGCAGGAGGGAGCGCCTCCGCAGAGGAGTCCAGCAAGAGGGGGAGAGAGAGGCGCGCCAGAATCTCGGTCCCGGGCGCCCAGGTCGGCCGCGGAGGAGCTGCAGCCTCCAACAGGTTCGTAGAACGCGCGCTCGCTCTCCGCTGCTGAGCCGCCACCTCCTCCGCCGGAGCAGGTTCGCTGGAGAGACCCCAGCCATAGGCCCTGCGCCGCGGAGCTCCCTGAGGGAGGCTCCCTCCGGCCCTCCTTCCTTCTCCCGGTAGCTCTCAGCCGCCGCCGGCTCTTCCGGGGCGAGGCGGAGGGCGCCACGGCTCCTTCTCGCTTCAGCACCACCTCGGGGACAGCTCCCGCGGCCGGCTGGGTCCCGGCCCCGGGTCAGCACTGCAAAGGCGGACAGCGGCCGCCTGGCCGGCTGCTCGGCTCGCCGGGTCTGTGTTCAGCATCGCGGCCGCCCAGGACAGTCCCCTCGCCCCGCGGGCTCCGCTGCCCGCGTCAGCACCGCGGCGGCGGACAGCTCTTGCCGCCCTCCCGCTCCCTGGCGAGCCGCGAACAAAGCAAAGCGGAGGGGCTGGGGCCTCCCGCCCTCCTTGGGGGTGGGCGTTTGCATCGCTCGGGGGATTTCGGCTTCCCGCAGAGCAGTGTCAGGAGAGCTGGGGAAGGGGGCCTAGTCGCAGTCGCGCGTCTCTGGCTTGGGTCTGCAGTTCGCCAAGGCCTGGCCGTGCAATGGCGGGTCCCAGCTGGAAGTCGGAAAGAGGGTGGGAGGGGAGACAGGCGCAGAGGGTCTCGGGCTCCAGCTGGGCGAGCTGGCCCTGAGCTAGGAAGACGGTGTGCGCCACCCACTCTTCCTTCCAGACCCCACCTCCACCTAGCTCAGGACCACGGACTTTCAGGAGAGCCTAACACAGATGCCTCAGGCTCGCAGCTGCGATCACTGACTCTGGCTGTCTCCGGAACATCCCTAGAAAGTGTGAGGCTGAGTTCCGTGGGGGAGGAGGCCGAGAAACCGCAGGGAATCCGCAGGAGCGGGCAGCTCCAGGCTCCCCCTCCGTCCTGCCCAGGTTTCTGCCCCTACCTCCAGAGCGAAGGTGCGAGGGAAGGGGGTGGAGGGGGGGAGCAGCAGGCTGTGAAGGAAGCTTGGCAACTAGCAAGGAAAGAGGCAGAAGAAGTACGAGAAGCTGAGAGCTTCCCAAGCAGGGGAGCCAGTTCCGAGGTGGAAAACCAAACGTGGAAGAGGAAACCTTTTCTCTGGGAGCTGAAGCTGGGAGGGCCCCGGATCACGTGACTCTTTGGAGCACTGCCTGTCTCACCCGGAGACTGAGCCTAGGGGCAGAGGTGATTTGCCTAAGGTCACCAAGCAATTTAGTAGCAGAACTGGGCCTTAAGCCCAGGCTCCCCAAATCCTGAGCCTGTTGTGTAACACTCTTAGAGAAGACTTTTAAAATCTCAGACGCAGGGAGAAGAGCTGAGTGGTTTCCGTTCTGAGTACAGGTCTCAGCTCTGTGGCTCACTAGCCCATGACCTTGGGCAAGGGGCCTTCTGAGAAGAGGGGTTAAAATGTTTCACATGTGGTGAAAATTTAATTAAATATCTGTATAATGAGATTAGGGTGGTGCCTGGCACACAGTAAATGCTCAAAAAAAAAAAAACGTTAGCAACCGTTCCTGCTATTATTCCTTCTGTAAACATGCGCTGAGGACCTCTTGTGTGCCGGGA